ATTATTTTTTGGTTGTTATTTATATGTTGTATATCATACCTACAAAACCTCTAGAAAGAGCTAAATAGGAGCACTTTTTTCCACCCCAGGATTCCTTTCTGTGTCCCCAGAAGAACAGTGCAGAATATTATTAGATATTGCTGTGCTGAATAAAGTTACCCCATGGGAGAGTAAATGATTTGCCTATATGCAGCTCTGAGTGAGGCTAGCTAAGAATGCATTGCTCAATCCTCTTACAGACAATTCATCCATATCATTAATTCCCCCATTCTCCCTGTCCCTCATCCTTACCTCCCAATATTAGGAGTTATGATATGCAGCTGTATACGATTTACTCTCACCTGATTATTATTGTTGAGCCATGATATACGTTTGGTGTCGATGAAAAGCTGTTGTCCCTCCGGTACCCATTCTGAGAAGTTGCCCACAACCTTTCTTTCTACTGACTCACAAGGAACGCTTACCCAATTTGTAAATGTATAATGATAGGGAAATTCTCTGGCATCATCAAAAAGCATGGTGCGATTCATTTCAAACATATTTTTGAGATTTTTTATATAATGATTAAGCTATAAAAGAAAAAGGAAAAAACAGATAGATATAATCATACAAGAAATTAGATTTTTAAAAATCACAGCATAGCGGGGTTCAACTTCCAACAACCCATTGTTATTTATCCAGAAAAAGGCAAAACAAGCAAACGATGTTGTTTTTAATTCTGGACACAGAGTTACATAGAAACATAGAATGTGACGGCAGATAAGAACCATTCGGCCCATCTAGTCTGCCCAATTTTTTAAATACTTTCATTAGTCCCTGGTCTTATCTTATAGTTAGGATAACCTTATGCCTATCCCACGCATGCTTAAACTCCTTTACTGTGTTAACCTCTACCACTTCAGCTGGAAGCCTATTCCATGCATCCACTACCCTTTCAGCAGGGTAAAACCTCTGGATATTATTTTTAAACATTTACCCCTCTAACTTAAGACTATGTCTTCTTGTTGTGGTAAATTTTCTTCTTTTAAATATAGTCTCCTCCTTTACTGTGTTGATTCCCTTTATGTATTTAAATGTTTCTATCATATCCCCCCTGTCTCGTCTTTCCTCCAAGCTATACATGTTAAGATCCTTTAACCTTTCCTTGTAAGTTTTATCCTGCAATCCATGAACCAGTTTAGTAGCCCTTCTCTGAACTCTCTCTAAAGTATCAATATTCTTCTGAAGATACGGTCTCCAGTGCTGTGTACAATATTCCAAATGAGGTCTCACCAGTGTTCTGTACAATGGCATGAGCACTTCCCTCTTTCTATTGCTTATACCTCTCCCTATACAACCAAGCATTCTGCATTTTCCAAAATTGAACGGATTAGAGCATATATGATATATGCTCAAGTTATAAGTTACAGGTAAATCAGCAACATTATATACATTTATTGAAACAATACTAGAGTATTGTTTTACTTCTATTTAAATTGACTATGAAAATAAGTCGCACCCTTGAATTCCAAAAGAGCATTTTTCTTGGGTGCACTTTACTTATAATGACACTTTTTAACACACTATTTACATACAATTCTCATACACTACACATTAAAAAGGAACTATTACTTTTTGGGATTTTTGTAATTTCGTTAGTTATGCTTTTTTGTCTTTATCACAAGAGATACCTTGCATGATCATTCTTACTATTGAGTTTTCTCAGAGTTTTTGCCCATTTTTATATTTTCTGTTCTTGCTTAAATACATTTACTTAGGGTCTCCATTAGTGAATAGGGCAATTCAGACACAGACCCCATTCTCACTGTGCCTAGAAGGATATCAGCTCACTGATGAGGCCCTGAGAAGGGTGAAACGATTGTCCGGGGTTGCTGTTTCTCTCATTCAGAGGAAACGTGCCAGTATTTCTGATCTTCACTGCCCTTATGGGAAGAATCAGTCTGATTTGCAAAAGGTATAGGTCCTCTCTGTGATATATAAAAACATTCTCAAATCCCCTTTTTCCAATAGAAAAAGAGGGTCTACAAAGGGGAGTTAAGAAAAAAGAAAGAAATTTGCAATATTATAAAATAAAGAATTGTATTGAGGTAATAATGAACATAAATAAAAAAAATGCATAATTACATTTAAAGTAAGAGAGCACAAAAATACAAATACTGAAAATAATATTTTAACAATAACAAATAATAATACATACAAAATGTCGCCAAATTTCAATAATCTAAAATGCCTAAAACAAGGGTCAGTGCTTAGTGGATATGCCCTGATTTGATAAGCATAAAATGGATATTAACAGAAACGAAAAAAGCAAAAATTCACAAACTGAATATAATGCTAACTGGAGATAAAAACGTAGGCACCAAAGCATCCAGTGGTATGGAACAATGTAACCAGAGGGAGACCACTAAATATCTGACGTAACAGAAAGTATCAGCACAAAATTAAGCTAACTCCAAATAATAATAAATACCGAACTAGCCGTATAAGGCTACTCCAATGTCTAAGTAATTGAGGGGATAAGGTTACTAAACACCTAAGTCTGCAATATACATATAGGCTTTATTAGTCCTGGGCCTTTAATGCATACAGTGTTAGTAAATCTTCACTTAGTACCTAAGCACCAGAAAAAGTGACAAAGGGAGAAAGGTCACTGTCTAAAAGATTGGCAGCCCTAATAATCAAACGTAGACAGACGGATAAAGTAAAATAAAATAAAGAAAGCCTCTCTCCTTGTGAGACTTACTAGATAGGCATAGAAGAAAAAATGTAAATCATAAATCATAACAAACTCCAATGCCTAAGTAAGTGCTAAACACCCAAGTCTATCACACAGGGTCTCTGGCATTTGTGGTTAACCAGGTATGGTGAAGGTTAATAGGGTCAATTGGTGCCACACTCCCCTCATGGGTGGCCGGGTTGTTCAGTACTTTGTTTGGCGAACGATATAGGGGAATCCAATATAACTGGTGTTAGTACTGAACAAATACACAAAATTACACAGGAACCCAGTGTTGCAATGGAGGGATACAATATAACAGAATGAAATACACACACAGCGGTATGGACAGCTTCTAGCACCAAAAAGGGGTACTGAAATATAGCCCATTCCGTTACACATGGGATTTTATGTTTGGTTCAGGAACCAAACAGGCGCACGAACCAACCGGGAGCTTTTTAAGCCTAATTGACAGTTTATAACACTTCTCACTGCAGTGTTCTTATAGTTTGTCTGGGTGGCCACTGTTCACATGAATGTCCACGAGGTGGCGGCCATGTTGTTCCCGTGAACGCAGGCAGCAGTGTTTGGTCATCAAGTTCATGGAACTCTTTTCGGACACTGAAACTCCCGAACACCGCTGGACTTCCAGGATTTTCTGCGTTCGGTTCCACACAACTTATAAGGGCACTAACAAGCTGCAAGGTAAAAACATTGACTATTTTCGTTAGTTTGTTTGGTTTTAAAACTACCGAATTAGATAGACCGCAAGCCCTGATTCTCTGGAACTGTTTTGGGCATGGGACCATGCATGCGGTCGGTCAAATTATGACTTCCAGGAAATTCCTGAACCCCTGAACCAATCTGGGTGATTTTCGGATATGTTGGTCACCCAGGGGTTTTGTGTGTTTAAAGGTATTTTTGAGGTTATGCAAAAATTAATGTTTTCTGTGTCTGGACATAATTGAGTTTAATACAGTTCTTGACCCAAGGCACAGGAGAGGGATTATCCTGTTTTGTGTGGGAGTGTCCTGGACCTGAGAGCCAATGTAAATACAGTATGTACTTTGTCATAGTCTACTCTTAGGTCCAGTGGGGAGTGCCCCTGTTATATGTTAAAGTAAACCCCTTGCATGGGGACCTTCATATAAGGCCAGTTGTGGCTATTAATAAAGCAGCTCCAGTTTACCCTCAACACAGAGTCTCATCTTGTGCTTGTAGGGGAAAGCGATACCAGCTATAATCCCTGCTCTTGGGATTGTTCTTTGGATTGCTATAATCACTAGCTATTGTAAGAGATACACTGCTATACCTGCTAGACCCCAGCCAAGCTGCGGCGGCTAAGGGGCTATGATGCTTATGGTGTCCAGTGCGGTGCTTATGGAACTCGGCGACAGCTAGGAAGCAGCGATTGGTGGAGGTACCCATTTGGGGTGCCAGGTGGTCCGTTATCTCTCTCTCTATATATATATATATATATATATATATATATATACACACACATACATACACAGGGCTCGACAAGTTCCAGGCGCCAGGTTGCCACGGCGACTAGACATTTCTCCCTGGAGCCTGGCATTTGTCAGCTCTAAGCCACGCAGGAAACATTAAAATGAGAAGGAGCAGCAACCTTCCTGCAGTTCCTCTCTGCTCCCTTGCGCGCTGTTTAGTGACATGACGTCACTCTGGCCCCGGCATCACTACAGAGAGAGCGCAGAGGAGCACAGTGAAACTGCAGGAAAACTGAGAGGAGACACACTGGACGCCAGGGAAAGATCCACTCAGCTCTCCCAAAGTCTGGGTGGATTTAGATTAAAATAAAAATAGCAATTTGTGGGTGTGTGGGAAAATGTGTGTGCTCTGCAAGGGCCTGTAAAGTGTGTGCGTGTGCACCTAGGAGCTGCATTGTGAGTGTATGTGTATTGGGGTTGCATTGTGTGCTTATCAAAGAGCTGTAGTTATTATATAAATATATATATATATATATATATATATATATATATATATATATATATATATGAGATTTGGTGTGTAATGGGGTGGAGCATGTGTGTGTGTGGAGGTGAAGGTATTTGGGAAAGAAGTATGTATGTGGATGAAGAGATAATGTGTGTGAGGGGTGCACTGTGTGTGTATGCAAAGGTGTACTCTGTGATGGTGGAGTGTACTGTATGTGGGGGGTTCACTGTCTGTGAGAGTGTACTGTGTGCAGGGGGTGTAGAGAGTGGGATAGGGAAAAGCTTTACAATTTTTATTTTAATAATAGTTTTTTTTTAAAAAATGAATATTCCCCTTTCCCTCATCTTACCTTGCAAGGGGAAAGATCAAAATTAAGTAAATTAGAAGATAATCTATTAAGCTATTTAGTAGGTGTCTTTACATTTGTTTACCATTTTAAGGATACCAAATTAGCTATTTAGCAGATAGCTCGCTTATTTGGTAATATGCTTTTGGCAATTCCAGGTAAGGATAACAATTAGGGAGCTATCTACAAAACAGCTAAACAGATCACAAGAAAATGACTTTTATTAATTTTGATAATTTAGCAGTTTAGCAGATAACTCACTAAATTGATTAGACAATATCTTATTCCCTCTAGTTCTGGGGCATTAAGGATATTTGAGATAATTTGAGTCATTTATACTTATAATTGCTTGCTGATTGACTTTTCATATATTGAAACCCTGTGAACCCATAGGTTGTCTGTTTGAAATGCTGTCAAACCCCTGGTACAAAAGTTAATTAAATGTAAACTTGTATTTTAAATGTAATATGCAGTAGGCAATTTCATTGTGTTTACCTGATATCTGTAATTATAACCTATGTAATTTTCATTAGGATCTATGTGCATCTCATGTAGGGCAGAAGCCATGGCAAGAACTGTGTAATATACTCGAGGAGAAGCTCCCTGTGTTAGATAGTCCTCAGCAATGATATCAGAGTAGATGTTAGTGCAATTTGATGGATCTTCATAACGAAAAAGGTATTCTGTAATCCATACATAAGAAAGAATGAATTCATTTGGACGATTTGAGGGATTAATATTATCAAAGAAGTCTCCATATTCTGGTAAAGGTATGTAATAATCCTCTAATGCCAAACTGCCATTAAGTAATGTAGTAAACTTATTTGGTTTAGAATTATGAATTATGGACCAGGATGGGGGGATAATTATTGTCATTTTCTTGGTTGACGACTGTATCATAGAAATCACTGAAAAAATTGCAATATCATATGATCCACAAAGTACAATAATTTGAGCAGATGACTTTTCAATAGTGGATAACATGCTCTGTACTTCACTCTCTTTAATGGTGAGTTTATAGACAGACAATTTGAAGGTGAATGACACACAGATACCATCATTGGACAAGTATTCCATAAAAGCTAGCTGCTCTGTTTCTCCAGCATCATCATATGTTGTTAAAATTCCAATCCAATTCCAGTTTAACTGTTTCAGAAGGCGGGATAAAATTTTGTAATAAGTATGGTCATTTTGCACCATCCGGAAAAAGTGTGGATACAAATATTTATCACTAAGAGCATACTTTGTTGCTCCATAACTGATCTGCAAGGCAACAATATTATTGTTACATTATTAGAGATACTTTAATTCACATCATTAAAAAATGAGTATCAAGAAAGGGTCATCACAAGGTAAATATATTAAAAACGAGAATATAATTCAAATTTACCTAAAAATAAAAAATAATTAAATGTGGCTAATATATGTGGACAATTGGTTCCTGGTTGTGTTCTAGTGTAGGACATGAAATGGCCACAATAATTGCTAGGTAAGCTATGTTCTTACCTGGCAATATCTGTTAGTGTGCTGTTGATATTATTGGGGATCTACTTAAAATGTAAATGGCAGTCTGTAATACACATGAAATCAGAAGTACCTACAACATTTGCATTTTTCTGCTGTCTCTTAAAATGGAAATTAAATTAATGTTAATTCATATTTGTATTGTATAAGTCTATAATTAGTGATGTCGCGAACCGTTCGCGAACTTCCCGCGAACGGCTCGTCGCGGTTCGTGGCGAGCTCCGGTCGGCTGACACATCCCGGCCAATCTCCAGCAGACACTCCCTCCCAGACCCTCCCACCTCCTGGACAGCATCCATGTTGAAGCTTCATGTTGAAGCTTCATGTTGAAGCTTTAACATGGATGCTGTCCAGGAGGTGGGAGGGTCTGGGAGGGAGGGTCTGCTGGAGATTGGCCGGGATGTGTCAGCTGACCGGAGCTCGCCGCGGCGAGACATCAGACTTACAACTAATAATTGCAAAATGTTAGAAGAAATAGTGATGTTTGCAAAGTAGATTACCACACACTACTTGATACTAAGTTGTCTGGATATGTGGCATCAAAGTATCCGCTGTGAGGCTATACTGACCTCACAGGATACAGTCTAATGTCAAAGTGAGGTCCTGCCAGGATTTGGGTCTTAGATAATATGGTGTGATTACCAATAAAACAGTGAGACGTACAGAACTGACCTCACAGGATACTGTCTGGTGTTAAAGTGAGATCCTGTCCGGTTTTTGGGCTTAAATAATATGGTGTGATTACCGAGAATAAGTAAGTGTAACGGACAGAACTGTAGGATAAATAAAGTATTATATCCTGGGTCAGAGATAGAGGTAACTGACGATAAATTGGGCAGGGGGGAAATACTAAGCACTAAGTAGCCTTCGTGGGCACCCCTTAACCCAAAAAGCCTAATAGTCAGGTTGGCTGACACAGGCGAAGGGCATTTACAAATGTTGGTCCTGTAAGGCTTGCAAATATATCAACTCAGCTGTTTTTTTTACAGTAAGAAAAATAAAGATGTGGAGTTATCTACCCAAAAAAGTGGTTTTATCAGAGTCCATACAGATATTTAGACAGCAATTGAATAAACATAATATTCAGGGATATAAATATTAATTAGTGGGGTAATAGCTTCTTGATCCAAGGAGATATCTGACTGCCATTCTAAGATTAAGAATTATTTTATCATAGTTTGGTCAAAGTGGCCCCCGCGTCTCATAGCCCCTGTACCTCATGTCCATTCAACTGGACGGGCTGTTGGTGGTATGCCCTGTTGTCATGGGCAGCCTGAGCTGGGTTGGCCTCATGTAGAGTAAATGTCCATATTTCTAATTTACTCTACCAACATTTGTATATACTGACTAAAAGAGCTTGATTGAATCTGACATATCTATATCTACATTCCTTTTTATTGTAAAAAAATGCAAATAAGCACATATTTTTTAGAGTTTTGGCAATAATATTGTGCACATAATTACTGCAGCTTTAGGAAAGCAATTCAAGATAATTTACTATGCCCAAGTCTTCACTGGGAGATAGGTGATAGGCATCTTCACGTGGGGACAATTTGACAGGAGTGGGCAGCAGCCCTTGGGGTCTGTCTGACCACCGGGCGAGACCAGCTGGGGTTATTTAGCTGAGGGCATTCTGTCTTGTAGTGGCCAGGCTGGCGGCAGTGGAAGCAGGGGGAGGCTGGCTGTGCCATCCTCCTCTTGTGGGGACCCGCTGCTGGTGCGCCTCAAAGTGGTGGCTGGGGCTGTAGGGCATAGGGGAGGTCGGTGTTGAGCAGGGGCAATTGGGCGCCAGGGCTACTGGATATCTACATATTCATCAGCCCGCTGCGCTGCCTCGGTGAGGGTCTTGGGCTGTCTGTCTCTCAACCATTCTTGCACTTTGTTGGGGAGACCATTATAAAAAGAGCTGGGTGATCTCCTCCGGGGACTTGGCTTGTTGGGAGTTGAGCCAGTTCTGGGTGGTCCTTGATGATATAGACACCAGAACAACATACATGCACAACAGAAACATTATACATATGTTTTAAATAAATAATAACAAAGCAAAATTATTTTTGTGACAAAAGGCTTTTTGTCACTGTTTTTTATATGACAAATTGCCCTGCTTTCCTGGGTTGTGGAGAAGCCTATTTGCCAGCCTCCTCCCTCTTGACTATGGCCCTGGTGTGTACAGCCCTTTAAGAACCATCTGGGGAAATATTCAGACTTTTGTGAACAGTGCCCCTTTAAGACTGTGTCCCCAGACCCCAAAGATACTTTGTTTGTGACTTTCTCCCACTTGGTTCAGTAAATGAGGCTTACTGAACCAAGTATTGCATAGTCGGACCACCCAGAAGTGGAAGCGTGTGGCTAATTTACCTCCAGGCTGGGAGCCTGCTGTAGGTAAATTGCCGACCGCTGGGCCATCTTTATTCATTCGAACGCGGTTAGCGGTGTGTGCAGCCAAATTCATTGAACTGAAATCGGCTACACATTTCCACGAACACCGTTGACCCTTACCTTGTCCTCCACTGAGTTTTCAGCCACAGAGACTAAGTCCTGTTCGGCGATTTCAGTGTAAAATAGACCGACCGCACAGCCCAAATCTATGGAACTGTTTTGGGCAGGAAAATGTGCTGCTGAGTAAGAATATGTGCTTTTTATGAAGATTGAATGCATAGTTTTAAAGTTATAGTAAATATGTAAAAAGTATGTTTTTCCTGCCTGTGATAATTACATTAACCCATTGTGTTCAGTAATTATATCACAGGCAGGGGGGAGGATTTTGTGGGAATGAATGGGAGTGTTTTACTGTATATTACGTGTTTGATTGGCTGTTCCACAAAACCCTGTGGGTGGTACTATTGTGTAAAAAAATGTGTATATAAGAACAATAAAACCACAGCTCTGCCTGTTCCTGTTTGACCCTCAACATAGAGCCTCGTCTCATGATTGGGGGGATACGACTGCATCTACACTGGGGGATTGCTATACTCTACATACTCCCCTAGCTATAATCACTGCACTCTTTTAAGAGCTTGTTCCAGCGTCGCTCTCTGCAGGAAGAGAGGTTCGGTCTGCAGTGCTGATGGTGTCAAGTGGAGTGCTTGGAGTCCTCATGAAGCACTAGGAGCATACATCAACGGAGGTACTAGGTTGGAGTACTAGGAGCTCAGTTACAATTTTGTTACAGAAATAAAATTAACACATATAGCTGATTTGTTTTTGCATAGTATGTAATTGTTGCATTTTGCTTTCTATACAACATTGTATCATTAAAGGACAAGTAAGAGCTCTTTGAAAGTTGAAGATGATGCCATAGGTTCACTCACCTGAGAATATCCATACATCCCCAGTATTTCTGCTATGGCAAGAGTTGTCGTTGAAACATGATCACCAATAACACCAGCCACTTTGTTATAATCGCTACAGTAATAATTAGGAACTGTCTTGTCGGGTCCAGATAAAATCTGTAGAACACTTTTCACAGCTTTACTTGTGTCTGAGCATGAATCTAATAAATGGTATCCCAATGTGATATTTGGTAAAATATTGATATCTTTGTTTATCTTTTCAATAGCAAAAATAAAAATAAGAATGTTTACATAAGTCTTCATAGTAGCACTGTAAAAAGAATAGAAATGTATTTGTTAATACTAAAGATTCATGAACATTAATTCTATGTGAACACATGCCAATTTATGTTTCTTTTTTTGTTTTTGCATATCGTGACAGTGATAGTAATACTTGCAATTGTTTTGTTTTGAATTGTTTTCTAATATATCATTCTATTCAAAATATTATTGTTTGAACTTAGGAACTAGTTTACCCTAAGCACTTTCTTTCTGAAGACCAGCTTTTTATAAATTATGTAGTGTGAAAAAAAATTCTTTACAAAATGATGTAAAATATACAGAATAGCACATGTAGTAATCTCATACATTTAATTGTAAAGCTTAATCTGTCTTTGTATATTTTCTTCTTTATAGTAGTGTATGTCAATTGAACAGTCACTTATAGGCTTTTTTATAATGGACTATAAACTAATTACCAAACTCCAAGTATTAAGAATTTCAAAGCTGGGATCTGCATCTGCACATCTCATCACTGAATCTATACTTTGGTGCATGGATGGCACAGTAGTTTGTAGAACTGAAGTACACGACGCTCATAAAAATAAATTAGGACATAAATTAAAGCAAATAAATAATATGAATAAATGTACTGAACTTGATGTTTATCGCTCTGTGAAAAGAAATCTACACACAAAATTGGTGTTTTATTTTACAATTTTGTGATAACTTTTTCAACTAGTGATCTCCTTTTTCATGAAAAAAAAAAATGGTAAAGAAAGGACCTAAAAAATATTATCAATAATCTGAAAACGTATCCATTGGTTATATACTAAGTGAGAATACAAGGTGAAATCAACATGAATTTCAACTTTAAGGTCAAAATAGCAAAACTAAAATTTCTCAAAATGAGCTCCTAATTTAGTTTGGTTAGTCTGGTCTTGAATTAGAAATTATCTTTGAATTCCCTTGGAATTCTAACTTTAGTGAATAACCCTGATAAGTTTTTTTGAGAAGAGATCTCTTCACGTCAATGACGTGCTGTGATATTTTCCCCATTGTATAATTGTACAACACTCTTGAATATTTTAAAGGCAAACACAATACTAATAATACTTCTAATTATAATTATATTAGTAACATTATATTGAAACATGTAAAAAGTAATGGGACCCTATAGGCACCTAGACCACTTAATCTCACTGAAAGGGTCTGGATGCAGTGACCCTGTTTGCTTAACCCAACAAGTAAAAATATTGTAGTTTTAGCAAAATTTCAATGCTTACATTGCTCGAATAAGGTTGACTCTTCTCTTTCTGGTCTTGCACAAAGCTTAACTCTGTGAAATGACTCTGGACATCCTAGCACTTTGTATAAGGACATCAAGTGTCTTGAAAATCCGGATAAAAAACATGGAATCAATGTTTTCCTAGGGGGAAGGCCTAATGTGTGTGCGGCACTCAAAACACATGTGCATTCGATTCCATATATTTGGCGTTTCAGGAGGCAAAGAGGGATCCAGTGTAAGTTAAAAAAGCAGTAGGTGCATTATAGGATATATATGGGATTTCCGATCCGACACGATAATATGTAATTGAAAATTCATTGATACTGCATTCTTAACTCCTTAAGTACACAGCTTCTGTTTGTTTGTATTTACTAAAAAACACAAGTAATTTTGGCTTTTTTTTCTGTGTGTGTTAAAATGCAATTTCCATATTTCTAATTTACTCTAGCAACATTTGTATATACTGATTAAAAGAGCTTGATTGAATGTGACATATCAATATCTACATTCCTTTTTATTGTAAAAAAATGCAAATAAGCACATATTGTTTAGAGTTTTGGCAATAATATTGTGCACATAATTACTGCAGCTTTAGGAAAGCAATTCAAGATAACTTACTATGCCCAAGTCCACTATAGGCAAACCACCAAATCTTGACAAACTGTTCTGAGTAAAACAATATCCCCAATGTAGAGTCATGGGAAAAAGAAAGTACACACATTAAGAATGTAATGGTTTTGCATAGCAGGACATAATAACAATTATATGTTTCATAGCAGGACTTAACACCCATTATGCCTTTCTGCATTCAATGGGCTTTAAAGATTTCAGCCCTGGAGCTGCCGGCTGACTTACATTCTCGGGGCCTACCTGACAGCCCAGCTCACAGAGTGATCACATGGCTCCAATCAGGCAGTGCCATAATACTGAAGAAAAAATTAAAAAAATAAAAAATAAAAATATATATATACAGCTTTTTTAAGATGGATGAATAAATGAATGACATTATATACATGGAAATTTGCCAGACTATGTTGCCTTTGAGACTGTATGGCAGTCTAAAACACTCTAAAACACATTTGTGTTCAGTAATGTTTTTGTATTAATTATATATATATATAAATATTGCTAAACATAAATAGTGTTTTAGAGTGTTTTAGGCTGCCATGCAGTCTCAAAGGCAACATAGTCTGGCAAATTTCCATGTGCAAAAAACTGAGGAATCAAAGTTGGCCCAATCAAAGTCCAGACCTATAAGAAATGCAATGGCAAGACCTGTGCATAAATAAATACCAGAAACCTCAATGAAGTGAAGCAACATTGTAAAGAAGAGTGGGACAGAATTCCTACACAACTATGTGAGAGACTGATAAAAATATGCATACAATGAATCCTTCAAGTTATTGCTGCTAAAGGTGGTTCTACAAGCTATAGAATCATGGGCCTATGTCTCACTTTGAGGCATTGTAGCAATTTGACAATTTCAGTTACCCCATACATGCATATTATTTGCAAAAGTAAAGACTACATGGTATCTCATATCATATATCTTGAGGTTTATTGTTGTGTTGCAGGGTATTTACATCTCCATTTAAAGAGCAGCACTCACTTTGATTGTTTGATTGTTAACCCAGAGATCACTGTGGTTTCATGAAATTATGAATTCTGGCTCCAGCTGACAGATGGCAGCCTTACATATCAGTTTTATCTGGGGTCACCCTGTTACCAGCAGGGAAATAGTCTCTGCTGGTAAAATTGTACATAACGTAATTATTATTGGATCCTTAAGGGGACACTGTAGTCACCATAGCCAATACAGCTTCATGTAGTTTTCAATGTAAATGCTGCCTTT